GAATGTTTTTCCGCAGCCTGCCGGTGCATCAAGGTAAAATACGTTGCTACGATTTTCGCTTCTATGAAGCGCACTCAAAACTCTATCAATTACGAATTTCTGCTCATTTGTGGCTTTGTTGTACATTTCATCAAAGTCGATTTTATATTGCCCTGCATGAGTGTTCAATTGTCTTGCGTAGTTATTCCGAGCTGGTTTTGGAAGCCCGAGCTCTTCACAGCAGGTATTATGCGTTATTAGTATTTCATCTATTTCCAGTAAAGCAGCATTTATTGCGTGTGGCTTTGTTGTACATTTCATCAAAGTCGATTTTATATTGCCCTGCATGAGTGTTCAATTGTCTTGCGTAGTTATTCCGAGCTGGTTTTGTAAGCCCGAGCTCTTCACAGCAGGTATTATGCGTTATTAGTATTTCATCTATTTCCAGTAAAGCAGCATTTATTGCGTCGCCCTCGGAAAGACCTTGATAAATAAAATCTTCCACAAAGTTGTCTTTAAAATAATGCCACAAATCCACCGATTCGGAAGGAACAATATGGCGAATAATTCACGTATTTTACGTGGGGAATAAAAGAGGGCCGCTTCTTCTCAAAATAATGAGTTGAACTTGATGCAATGCCAAGAGCAATAGCGGCTTCTCTAAATGTTGCATATACATGGCCATCCACAGTTCGCAATTCTCTGAAGTCTTTCGCTCCATTTACATGAAGAAGTAAAATACGAAGGTGGTAGAGCTCTGGATCTTAAGCAGAAACAACATTTAATCGCGTAACAATTTTATTAGAACCTCTTTGACGATCTTTCCAAGATTTCGTTTGGGGATGCCTTATGTAGTGGTAAGGTATATCGATATAACGATATTCCCTAGCCTCAACCATTTCTCTACTTAGTTTAAACCAAGCCATAAGTTTAGAATAGCTTTGATTCAAAACGCGCTCTTCTTCGCCGACCCTAATTGTTATACGTTGTAAATTTTCAAGATGGCATTCGAGAGGAATAACTTTGTATGATTAAAAATGCATTTCGTACTCAAAAATACGCCATACTGCCTCAGCAGAGCCAACGCATCTAGCAGTAAGATATCCCACAATTTCGTCGTAATTAAGAGCACCTTCATTCTGAAACATAATTGAAGCTGAATCGAAACCTTTGTAAATGTACTTGTAGATATATTTAATGCTTTTCACTGTCGTGCAAACTTCAACGTTAATATGTGCTTGGTACTTTCGAAGCAAATATTTGTTGTATGGGACTAAAAAGCTGTTATCAACGGATACGCCATTTTTTCCACACAGATTTTAGTATCCCTTCTCCTACATACTGGATATCCATTGACATTATCACGTGTATGAGAGGCAAACTCTTTAGGAAAATTTTTTGTGCAGGAACCATCACGCATACAAACAGAATTAGCATTAAAGCAACCACATGGGCCATAGATCATGTGTCGGGCCACTAAATCATTAAGCTGGGGATCCTCTCCTGCGAACGGTATTTCAGCGCATAGAATGTTATCAATAGCGCACGTGCCGTGGAATTTATCATCATTGTCTAAAGATATAAGTATATGAGCATGGGTAAGGCCCCATTTCTGAAACTATTGTATATATTATAGCTGCCACTTTTCCAAAAATATGCTTTTTATTTGTGTTATCGAGAAGACAGTGTAGCTTTAACTGAAAAACCCGCGCAATTAGATCGGGCCTGTAACACGGTTGTTCACCTACATATGTATATGTAGTAATAAAAAACAAATAACAAATCAATGAATACTCGTATAGCTCGGTTCTAAAAAATTCATATCTTTCGTATTTTATCTCAAAAACAGGACCAATCGTATCTGATCGATTTTTTTTCTAGCACGTCCGGCTTTTGAGTAAAAAATTGTTGAAGTGTTAAAAAACTGCGAAAATTAAAAAAAAATTTAAAAATATAATTTGTATGTAATTTTACCGAAAAGAGCACGTACTAATGAAACTTCAATTCGTCTGATGGATTCTACCTCTTGTCGATGGATTGAGTAGAAGTTAGTGAAAAATTAAAAAAACACTCAATTCGTTTTCAAAATATATTCCCAGTAAAACTTGGGAGCATCGTACGATTGCTCGGTGAGTACTCCCTTGGGAGTATACGAATACCTCCCATTGCTCCCTATGCTTCTGTGTATAAGCATGTAATTTGTATACTCCCTTTAACATTGGATGTCCTAGGAGGGGGAGTAATCCCTTTTACCTCCTAAACGAGCAATCGGGGAGCACACACAGAATTATCATCCCACAAACCTCCTAATGGAGCAATACGGGAGTACTCACATAGTTACCTCCCAAAAAGCAACAAGGGAGTGCACATAGAAAACATCCCATATTCCTCCCGAACGAGCAATAAAGTAGTGCTCCCATTAGAGGCATCCCGAAAGCCTCCTGTAGGAGTAATAAGAGAGCAATGATAACGAACATTTTACAATAGCCAAATAGATTTTGCTATTTATTAAATTTTTTTATATAACTTTTTAACGTGCATTTCTGCAATATTACAAGATCTTAACAGATATAAGTACGAGATCAGATAAAACATAAATGATACGTCTTACATAATTGCTTAATTTTAGAATTATATTGCAGAGAAATCATATGAAAGTAAAACATAATAATAACAAAACGGTAAGATAAGATTTGAATTATATGCACCTATATGCACATATAAGTATGTACTCGTATATGATTTCCTGGGTGTCAAGGATGCTTGCCTGTTCAGGAATCCACCAAGCGGGTAATTGTGAAGGTGACTTTGCTTAGATATCTGACATCTTTGTCACCCATGCGATGTTTAAACCCGGGCGTCACACTTAAATGCTGACACTAATTTGCGCAATCTGAAAAGTATTTAACGGTATATTATTTATAAGCAATACAATACTTAATATATTTAAACAAAAGTTACAGTACATACCAACGGACTTTTATTAAAATCTGTGTGCCATCCAAATTAAATTATTGTGTCCTCCTTATGCGTCTATAAGAATTATTTCCTTTTTTTCTATGGTAAATTTTTCCGAAAACACAAACTTTCTTTTGAACGAGGTGCGTATTGCTCTCCTATCAATCAAAAAGAATAATCTTGGATTTCTCGACTAGGAGACATCACTTTCTGCTCCTAAGCGAGTAATAACGGAGTACAAAACCGACAAATCTCACTTATTTCTCCCAAATCATGCCTCAGGTAGCATTCTTTAATTGCTCGCTTAGGAGATCTCTCATTACGCTCCTAAGCAAACAATAGAGGAGGGCAAAACCGATAAATCTCGTTTATTGGTCCCAAATCATGCCTCAGGGAGTATTATTTCGTCGCTCGCTTAGGAGATCTATTTGATTCCTAAACGAGTAATAAAGGAGTACAAAACCGACAAATCTCCCTTATTGCTCAGAAATCAGGTTAAGGGGAGTACTCTTTTATTCCTCACATAGGGAGATCTCCCTTCAAGTTCTAGTAGGTTCATATACATACTAAGATTTTCGTATGTGTGAAAAAATATTGAAGAACTGAGTTTTTGTGTGTAATTTTTCATTTATTTCTGCTCAACTCATCGACATAAGATAGAATCCTTCAGACGAATTGGCAATTCATTGATAGGCAGGTTTTTCCTAGGAAAAATTAAGTCTAAATTCTATTTAAAAAATATTTGAAATTTGCTATTTTCGAACTACAAATTTTTTTTTTTGCAAAAACTGGACACGCTAGAAAAGTTTTGTAAATATACTTGAAATTCACTTAAACAAATTTATAAGATGAGTTTGGTCCCGCTTTTGAGATAAAAGACAACCTCGTTTTGTTGAACCGTCGATTCAAATTATTATTCAATGCTCATGCTATGCTCACCAGACTCCATATTTGATTTGATTTCGTTCCAATTAGGGTTACATGTAAATTTTATGAATAAATCCGGCTTGCCGAATTCACGAACGATACTCATTGCATTTAAATAATTAAAATGCAAATTTCTGTA